TCCTTGCTGTCTGGTCAGTGTGTGGAGTCAGGCCCAAAAGCAGAGCTCTTGCGAAGTTAAAACGCAGCTGCATGCGCACTGGTAGCCTGCCCTCACTTCAAGGCACTTGTCTAAATAACTAACGAATGAAAACTAGGAGTATTACATCCAAAGTTGGTTTCTAATCACACGCTGAACCCTGTAAGCATATAAAGATGCCACTGTGAGCACTGTACAACTCAGCAGCCTGCTTTTATTTTGACTGTACTTCTCCATATGCTTCCAATGTCTAGCCACAGGCAAGTTTGCACAACTGACAGGAGAATGTTAAATTGACACTAAATACTTTACTTTTCTCGTGTCTTGAAGTTATGATTGTTTAATTTTTTGCTGACAGCTTTGGAATCTGTGTAACTTTCCGAGATGGACGTTTTTATTGTTGAAACTAAATTCTGAATTATGAACAGGGCCAAGTTTTTATGGAGGAAGGACCTGACTGTTTATCTTCACTCAGGAAAGCAGCCTCGGTGACTTACACGAAGTGAGGTTGAAAGACTAGACTCAAGCTGTGGAGTAAGTTAATACTGCATTGCGAGAAGGGAACGGATGCGAGATTAAATCAGACTTTACATTAAAACATCTCATTGTATCCAACATCCTCTAAGTTTCCAAAAGAAATCTTTAAGACAAAGCACTCCTATTTACCTGTGCGATAACTTCAGGGTCCATGGGTCGATGGTTGTTGAAGCTCTTGGACCTCCCTGCTGTCACAGTTTTCCGGATCTGCGGGCTGTCTATCCTGTTCTTCAGAGACGAGTGTCGGCTGATAGAATTGAGGCTGCCGTGGCCACTGATGGAGCATTTATCTGGAACCTCCTTGGGAAGACTTTGGCTCATAATGGGCTGAGATGAGGGTCTGGAACCGGCTATGGCTCCTGGGGAGGCTGGTTCTGCCATTGAGCTACCTAGTCCATGGCTGTCACTTTGACGGAAGGCTCTTCTGATGCTGCCTGACTCTGGTTTCTTTCTTTGCCTTCAGTCACAAAAGCAAAACAAGTCAATACAAGCAGGTACACATAATGGGCTGTAATTTGAAGATATCCCCCCAAAACAACACAGAGGACAATGGGAAGACACATGAAGATACCCAGATTACAAACACACCCAGGATTTTAAGAGTCATTGTGAAACAGTAAAATTATAAACCATTCCAGTTTAACACTTCTAAAACAAGACTGAGTTTCTGGCAGCTGTGCACATTCATAACAAAAACAGAAAACTTGGATGGAAGGTAATTAACTTGGTCAAGAAGAAAAGAATTTATATTTGAACAAAAAAAACCCTCTGTGCCATCAACAGGTTTTGATGATGTGTTTTATTACATTAGAAGAGCAGAGCTACAATTTTTGACTGGAGGACACAGTATAAGTCTACTAAGCTCCTGGCCCAAGGCATCAAGTTACTATTTTCAGAGACTGGCAAGCAAAGAACCCCATAGTTCGGGGCTAACGATCATTTCCAACATTTGCTGGTGGTAACGGATGTTTCTTTTTCATTGCTTTAGCAGGACCATGAGGCATTATCTATGTAGGGCTACAGATGTATCAAAAGATGATGTCAAATGGATGAGCTGGTCCAAACAATTTAGTTTCTACCCCATTCAAATCACATCAAGGCCAATGCAGCAGAACACTTTATGCCATAGGTCTGAAGCTTGGCATCCATTATACAGGGAAGGATCCATTTATATATAGCACCAGCCCCATGAATAACTGCAAGTGTTAACTCCAGTAGGATTTTGGCATCCAAATAATAATTCAGTGGGTGGCACAACTGTCATTGCGAAACCATCTGATTTAATTTTGCCCAAGTCTGTTCACACATAGGTCAGAAGATTCATTCCTAAAGAAAAAACAACAAAATGAGTCTTATGCTACTGTTGCTAAATATCAGTTTCCCTAGTAAAGGGAAAAAAACTGGAGTGGACGTTACCCAGGCTTCTTAAAATCACTATGTACAACACTACCAAAACCAGCAGACGGTGAAGCTCCAACATAGCTCTGTTCGTTACACAGATCTTTCCGTAACTGGCAGAATGGCATACTTCATTGGCTCATACAATAAATATCATAAAAGAAAGCCCAGATCCCAAGCTCATGCAGATTTACATAGCTTCACCGACACCAACGGAGCTCTGCCAGCTCCCATAAACTATGGACCAGGCTCTGTGTAGGGCATTAGCAGGTCCAAACCTTGAAAATGGATGCATTTCTGTTAATGCCTTTATAGACTACATTCTGTTAAATTGACTGAAGGTTAAAAATATCCACTCCCATAAAACTAATTATCATATTAATACCTTCACTGCACAATAGAGAGATGGGGTTTTTTTTAATACTAAGGAAATAAACAGTAAGATATGGGGGATAAGTCTGCTCTAGAATAATTAAATAACAGATCAAGAAATTTAGTCTGTTTCTAGCTTAATTTCCCAGTTTTTTTATTGTGTTGAGTGTTGGCTAACGTAACAATTTCTGGTTGAGGAGGTAAAGTTAGAGCAACAGGGAGGTGTGTTGTTTCACTGCAAGCATATGGTTAGTAACCTAAGGTGAGAAGCGCTGGAGAAACGAAAGAATGTTACGGGCAATGCCAGATGGTGGGACTTAAGGTACGTCATTTAGCACAAAACACGACACTAGTTTCTGAAGAAATTGTCCCCCACTCCATAAAACAAAACACATTAAACGTAAACGAGACATAACAAATCACAGAACGTAACAAGGAATGGGAACACACAATTACAAGAACTCACTCCGCTACTCCTCTCCCTTTCTCTGTGTGCTTAGCTTATAAAATAGGACATATTTGGGAAAACGGGAACAGATGGCACCTTGGGGATAGGGAAGAGAAGCCTGTGGGATTTTAAATGAACACTGGCCGCATTGGTGACACAGAGAGAGAGAGGACAGCAAGATGTGAGCAAGTTAGAAGAGGGGAAGCCAAGAATAATGGTGGCAGCGCTCGTTAGTTAACCTTTTTCAGGGAAGGAAATATTTTACTGGGCTCATCACCAAGACCTTTACAGTTAAGTAAAATAACGCAAGGCTGGTTCTTACTTGTTGATGTTTGCAAGGTAAATATCTGCGACGTGACCCCCACTTGGGCAACTGGCACCAGCTCTAGCAGTCACTTTTTCTTCCGGTGGCTCAGAATTTATTTCTATTTCAGACTTCGGACTGGATCTTTCAGAGATACCATCCTCACTAGGAAGGAGGAGGGAAGGAAATCACAACCAAAACAGGACCAACAGCACTGAATTTCAAATACAGCACTGCATGTGCAAACATACATAGAGGACAACAGCACTGTGCTAGCATCTTCCTCTCAAGAATCGTTACGGATCTTTCAAATGAGAGAGCCTGATTTCTGTGAGCAACCTGGAGATCCCAGCTCTGCTTCTTTAACAGGCTGGCAGCACCAGAACAATTTTTATATCGCGCCTCCACACACGTGGCCACCTACGCCTCTGCGGAGCTCTGCTTGTTTCAAGAGGACTCCCTTCTTGCAGGGGAGGTGGAAGGATGAACTCTCCCCACCTGGTGTCAACATCTTGACACAAACACTCCATTCCACACCTGAGTTTTAAGCAAGCCCATCTTGCAGATGGGCTTAAAGTGTAACATACGTGTCTTGAACGACGATATACTGATGAGGAATAAGGCCGTCAATTCCATTGTGGCGTCCCTCCCACCAGTCATCTGAGGCCCGCTGATAGAGTAAGAGAGAAGCTCCTTTTTTAAAGGACAGCTCTCGTGCAGTCCTGCCAATGTAGTCGAACTTCGCTATTGCTTCTATGGGCTCACACTCTAGGAGATAGAAGGGAATAAACAGTAATTCACTAAACGCTTGGGCTCAGGTAAGTATTCAACAGTTTAAACCTACCATAAAACAGCTTATGATGAGAGCATGGAAGAGGATAAAGTGTTGCTTCTTAAGGCAGCAGAGGGTTGAAGCAGTAGGATTCAGAGGGGAACCCCTATAACACGAGGATGTTGTAATTTCAGCATTTACCTAATCCTCTACGAGGTGGACACATTCATGTTTTCTAAGTCATAAACCCACTTACAGCAACTCAAGTGTACCAAGATGGAAGTGGCAATGGCAAAATTAGTATCTCATTAAAATAAAAAAAACCTTTCAAAGCTGGGTAGCAATCGGGTATGTTCCAGACAAAAATCTGCCTATGGTACGCTTTCTTAAAGGCAGCTAAACTAAACCTCCTGGGCAGGCAAGCAGGAGTTGTTATTAGCATTTAGGGAGGGAAACATCCTCTGATTCCAAGCTGCTTCAGAAATAAAGCAACTATTCAGAAGGAAATTGCTGCCTGTGAGGTTCACCTGACCCAGGAGACCGGATTCTGGCACCGTGGGAGGCCGTGCTATTCATCGAACTGTCATGGAAGCTAACAAAAACATTCAGTGCCTCCACCGCTGCGGTTTGTGCAGCGATCAGGAGAGCCAGCGGCTTCCCCGGGCTCCGTACAGCTGGGCTGCACCGTGCACGCCGAGCACAGCAGCACTGCGCTTGGAGCTGCACAACGTGCTCCAAACCTGACTGCTCCTACTTGAAAAGCTCACAGAAGAACTACAGCCATGCTGTGTCTGCAACCAGCCACTAATCCGGGTCCCTGCAGGACTCTGATATTATACAGAGGGACAATACGGGCATTTAGACACTCAGGAAAATCAATATGAAATTCACGTGGATTACTTTTAAGACTTAGAAAAATCTGCCATTGGTTGAGCCTAAATATATATTAAGCCAGCTCCCAATTCTAGGCAGGAATCAGGGGAATAAAGATGAGCTCAACCACACAGCCCCAGTGGACTTCAGCCTCTAATTACTTTAAAGGAGCTTTAACACAGCCAAGCCGTCCATGGAAATTGAGTTCTTTCCTGGAGAAGGAGATTTGTGGTTCCTCTTCCTGGACAAGGAAAGAGATGCTATTTCATACAGAGATCTCCTCTGCATCCCAGGAAGCTTCTACAGTGCAAGAGCCGGCCAGAGAGACTGGAAGGCCAAACATGAGCCACAGCTTTTACAATTCCTCCTTGGGAGAGCACATGCTCAAGAATTAGGTCTCTGAGGCTGCCCGCATGCAGGCAAGGTAGTATCTGGGCTCGAGAAGATATAGAGTGTAAATCCATCTGAGCGAGCTGACGTTGCAGCACCGCTGTCTCATCAGCCGGTCTGAGAGCGCAGAGCAGAAGCATCCCCCACCAAAGAGCCCCACCAGCGTCTGTAGTTACAAAGCACAAAGTGACCGAGCACTGAGGGCAATCAGCAACAGGATCTGCTAGAACGACCCCCCAGCAATTAATTTCTCCGTTACTAAACCAGACAACTCAGAATTCTGTCAAATCACACATTTCAGGCAAGCCTGTGGTCAGCCCCACACAAATCCCGCTATCAGCCCTCAGCAACCAGCAAGGGATTTGCAAGGGTGAGAAAAGCCTGGCCCGTGTTTGCAGCTTGCGATAGCCGCCTTGCTCCAGACTCCCCAAAGCACATGGTTATCTGGTCTTGGTTCCTTCTCTCCTCTTGCTTGCTTTGCCTCTCGAGCCAGCTTGTCCATAACACTAAAAAACCGATAGTGCTGGTTTTTGGTGTCCCCCTCCATTTACAAAGGGGATGGGAGTGTGGTTTTGTAAATTCCATCTGTTTCATTAAGAAGTGTTTATTGTTCCAGATGAGTGCGGCACTCAGGTTTCTTATGTTTCCAATTTGCTTTTTAGGACTCTGGCGTTCGTCCAGAGAAGTGATTTTAGACTCTAATTTCCAGTAGCTTTTTCCTACTACACTTATGCTCAGAGAAGAAAGCTGTGCGAATAAAGAGCAATAAGGCTAAGTCAAACAATTACCCAGCCAGTCTGACAGCCTGTGCAGGAAAGCAGCAGTGTAAAATCTTTCCACTCATACACATAATTTAATGAACATACAACCTGCTGGTTTTTCAGCATTTCTGACCTCTTATGCCTGCCTTAAACCGGACTGTCCACTCACTCGTACAGCAAAGCTGACTGTCAACAGCACGGATGCTCTGCAAAACACGACCTCTCCCCCCATCCCCAAACCGATTCCTTCCTTCAGTGAAGGTGGCTGGGATGACGGCTTTACTTCGAGAGGACTAGTGCCAGCCTCACAGAAGAGCTAAAGGAGCAGGCGCTTGGTCACATCCAAAGACCGAAGGAGTGAGAAAAACGTAAGAACATCCATCCCACTGAGTCACGAAGCTGTACGCTGCGCTTCCGACAAGCATGCCCGAGGTGTGACGCTGCACAGCTCAATTAGAAGGATATGAGACTCCTTAGTTAACCAGACCTTGCTGCTCCCTCAGAAGATAGAGGCCCAACTCCCTCCTCTGCGTTGGTGCCAAATGCTCCCTCCCAAATGCTTCCTATGGAATATTCCATGTAGGTTGCAGAACTCCATCCAAAACGCCTCCAAATTTTACCTTGCTCAGGGGCCCCACACAACCTAGTTCCAGAGGCCGTAAAACAGTGTCCTTCTCTAATCTCTAACTGCTCATTTTCCCATCACTGTGCCCTCGCAGCTACATGAGCGATCTAAAAATCCCATACAGAAACAACGCAAGTATACCCCATGGTGTTTCAGCCTGCAGGCTTTAGTCCCAGGCTTTACAGATGCGGGAAGAGTTAGCATTTCCTTCATTACAGCAATGAAATTGCTCCTTCCTTAGGTACAAACTCAAAAAGGACGTGTTCGCATGCATTTTTAAGAAGCTAACACGTTTCAGAAAGAACGCTGTGTTCGAGACAGACAGCGAACTCATGGTTCATTGCCATAGGCTTTGTGTTTCCTCCCAGCAACCTTGGTGAGGAGTCGCTGTGACAGTGCTTGACCTTGCTGAGAGAGAACTGATTTTCCAGCATTTCTAGCAGTGCTCAACATCGTTTCCTTTGTTATTGGTGTGTGAACACCATGAAGCCAGCAGGAGCACGGCAATGCCACGGGAAAAGTTTGTTAGGCAACTGCTGGAGGAAAGAGAGCAAAAAGCAGCACAGGAGCACGTGGCAGGGCTATTGAGCAAATTCCTAAAGACCAGCTCCAAAAGGATGCCACCTAATTTTAAGGGAACGCTACCTTCTTCCCACCTTTACAACTGAGGCCACCACAAGTAAAACCGTCGCCGAACTTACTTAGAAAATTGCAAGGGGCCAAAACCCAAGAATAAAACCATACTCTGTCCCGTTTTGGTCAGTCTGCTTTACACGCTGGTCAGTATTCTGGGGACCACCGTTTCACACCAGTAACGTAATCGTAGAATCATAGAATTGTTTAGGTTGGAAAAGACCTTTAAGATCATCCAGTCCAACCATTAAATCCTTTCCCTCTGCTCTGGATGGAGCTCACATGCAGCTGCTCCCCATCGCAGAAAGAGCCTCTGGAAGTATCAACAACAGACACTCCAAGACTGCGGTGTCACCTTTTCCTTAGGAAAGATTGTGAAATTCTCAGCGTTGGCACCCCTTTTTTTCACTGATCAGACAAGAAGGGCAACAGAGCTTGCCAAAGACAAGCCAAAAAAATTAGAGAGGCCACCAGGACCCTTCTAGCCCAAAACCTGGCTCCCAGAGGAAGACAAACAGTTCTTCATTTTATTTTGCTTGCTTCCTTAAAGCAGGAGCTCTGGGGCTTAAGGCACTCACAATTCCCTTGCCAAAGCTACGGAAAGGGGAAATGCCTGGCATACGCAGAGGGGAGCGGGAGCACACGCTGACACATATCCAGCCTTTGGCTCTATGCTTCCCCCATGACTTCCAAATCCAAGATCCTTCTACAAACGAGCTCAAATAGTCATGCAAGCGTGGAGTGTGCCCAGGCCTGCTGCTAAGGTAAGATACCCTTGAAAAAGGGATACTTTAAAAATAGTCAGGTAACTTCTAAAGATTCCTGTTGATCCCATACCTTTTTACTTTTTGGCACCAAATGCTGTATGTGACTATTCTGATTTAAACTCCACTTTGGATCTAACTTTGAACGTAAATTGCAAGGCACTATCTTCTCTGCCTCCCCCACAGCAGGCTGCACCAGTTAACCAAGGAGTTAACAGACTTTGCATACCATCATCACTGGTGTGGTGTTCAGCCGTAATGTCCTGAACCGAGTCTTCTGTTGAGGCTCTCTCTCCGTGAGGACTTTCACTACAACAGAAGGAAATAGAGAAGATGCTTTACACTGGTAGAAATTGAGTTTCCTCATTCACAAAAATCAAAGATAACTTAACCAGGAACATCCATATTGGAAGTCAATATCTAGGTTCCACTGCGACAGACACTTTGCAGATGCATTTGTACATACACTGTGTCTAAAAATCAAGCTAAGTTCTTATTTGATCAAGCAAACCAAACATCTTCATTAACCTTCTTGTACGCCATCAGGAAAGTCCAACTTCAGATCTTATAACCTGGACCTCTGGAGATGTTCAGAAGTCAGACAGCTGTGGCATGTTGGGTCTAGCTCCTCTCTGCCATGCCAGAATTATTCCCTCAGCTGCATTCTCCATTGCTCTAATTAGCTCATTAGATGACTGATGAGATAGCTGCCACTTCCTGGGGGAAATTATTTCTCAATTCATAATGATATTTCCAAGTCTGAGTTTGTCATCTCCCTCCTTCCCTTTCATCACAATCTTAAATTGTCCCATTCATTTCATTGAACGACTCCCATAGCCAGATTAATTGCCTGGAATCTTTATTTACAGAGCACCTAAACCACCGAGAGCACTCATGTACATTTTGCATGAAGAAAAGCTTTGAAAGGATCAATAGACAACAAGTGGCAACCAAAGGTTATGTTTTTCTAAGAAGCTATATGAGCAGTTCCCTCAGGACAGGAGCAGAAAGGAAACTGGAAGAGGATCCGTTGCCTCTCCCAAGCAGCTCCGCAGACCTGCTGCCAGCTGGCAGCGCTGCCTGCCTGCCCTGCCTGCTCGTCTTAGAAAAAAAAAGTGCTCACTCCTCATCTTACCAGATGCTGTTGCTAAAGACAAAACGCGTTTGCTGCACTCTTACACTGTAACTTGTTAGAAGCGATTTTTAATTGTCTTCACACAGTAATAACTTCATCCCTCATTTTGGCCTTGCAATGGTTAAAGTAAGTGATCACAGATGTAAAGTGCTCTCCCTTTGGTAATCTGCCTCCTATACTCTTCTAAAGGAGAGAAAAAAAGAAAAAGGAGAAGGGGTAAAATGTTTGGGTAATTCTGGCGTCTCATTATGCTTAATCCACGTGACATGAAGATGCCCCATCACCTTCTGAGTCAGTACCTCAGGAATCAACCTTCCCCATCCTTTGCAAAGCCTTTATGCTACTTAATAAAGTTTACAGAAGAATTTAAACCAAACGGAGGTCCCAAGAGGAACACAGCATTGAGGGCTAAAGTTTCACGCAGACTGTGAAGTAATGTCGCGTACAGCCAACGCTAAAGATCCAAATACTGCACAAAGACCACGTGCCTCTTCCTATCCATGCCTCCAACAGCACTTTCCACCAAAAAACCTGTCCTTGCTGCAGACTCACTCTCTCTGTCACGTGAGCCCCGGGACGCCGCAGCGGTCAGTGCTAGGGTGCTGGGTTTCACCCCGAGGGCTCCCAAAGCGCAAGCAATATATACCGCCAGAGGAATGCAATGTGAGTTGAGCATCTACAAGCTATCTTCTTCCCTGCAATTCTGATGGTCTCACTCGCCAGTATGCAGGGCTCCTGGACTCTCCCCATGCTGTCCTCGTGCAGTCTCAGAAGGACAGACAGACGCAGCATGGTCCGAGGCTTGACTCAAAGGCAGTATTTCAAAGATGCTTGCAGCACAGCCCTGAATTTGTCATAAACTCTGAACCTTGCCCTCCCCTCCCCTGCCCGAGGCAAGCCATTTCAAAGCTCCTCGGCATCGAAGCGAGCGCCGCTCGCAGTGGAGCGCAGGCACGGAGGTGCAGAGCACGCGAGCCGTGGCGCCGAGCCCGGGCAGCCTCCACGCCAAAGCACCGCCTGCGAGTTCCCCGGCACAAAGACGACTCAGCCCAGCGAAGTGGCACCGGGATATCGCAAACGTAGCAGGCTCCATTCCCTGATGAATCAGCTGAAGGACAAGGATTCACTCTGCTGCTTGCACGCTTTGCGGCAAGGAGCCCTGCGGGCAATAACTAACAACTATCTAAATACCAGGGCTATGAGAAGGCTTGAATGGGAACCAGATGCTTCTTCCTGGCTTTAAGCAGTCTCCCTTGCTTGCTTCTACCCTTCTCTGCTTAACAGGGTCTCAGGTCAGGGTGGTTAGGAAGGGCAATGAAGAAAAACCAAATGCCTTCAGAAAATAGATATTACCTTCCAGGACATTTTGCCTCCTACATACTCATGTGAAGCATCACCCACACTGAGCGGACTGAACATTTCACATTTTTATTCCCTTCACCTTACGGGACAAAACCTCTTGTCAAAGTTAAAGTGTTTCATTAAGGTCATAAAGATTCTTAAATTTTTTTCCTCTACAATTCTTTCACGTGTAACATCAGCTAAAAACATCAGAGTGAAGGGTAAAATTAACAGAACTTCCAAAAGTGGCTCTGGCAAGTCTTCTGCATACAGCAGTTAGTATAGAGGAGCCTCTCCTCACCGCACGTACGTGGAGTGAGCTGATAGCTAAAGCTACTCTGAAACAAGTCAGGGAAAACAAGGCCAGCTCTGTCACCAGAGTGACTTCATTTAAAAAATGTATTTATTTTAGTATATGAAAATAATCATTTGCATTCCTGGGACACTGGAGGAGGGAAGGAGCAGGGGGAGAAGCAGGACACAATTTAACATTCCTCATTTTCAGAGGGAGAGATCAGCTTGGCCAGTAGGAAAGAAAACACCTCCTTTCCTTCCCCCACTCCCCAACCTTCCACCCCAGATGACAGGAGCCGCTCTGGCTGAATTGCTTCCAGATGTGGCTTTCAGACTGAACACGCGGCCAGGCCTCTTGAGCTTTACGCTGGATGGAAACAGTGATTTTGCATTCCTCCCTCTTCCCTCCCCCACCATCACTGCTGCCCTGAAAATTAAACCATGCCACAGCTTTCTAGGTTCAGTTGCAAGTGACCTCTGCGTCTGAAGCAAAGGCACTCAAGACAAGCAGATAAAAAAGGCAAAAGCAGGAGGAAAAAAAGAAAAAAAAAGGGGGGGGGGGGGGGGGGGGG